ATTTTCCCTATGACTTTGTTTTTATACACAGAATTTATCTCACAGCTATATAAAAACATTTAAAAAAAAAAAATATATACCTAACAAATATTATAAACACACCAATAAAAAAAATTATGTAATAGTCTGCACAAGAAAAAATTGTGCCAACTAACTATTTGTGTACGTGGCGAAGCGTTATACTTTGGAAAAAAAAACTTTCAAGTGTTAGATAAACATTTACTGTTGATTCAATGGTTGAACCATAATAATAGTATGGCGTTATACGGTATTTCCCTAGTTATATATATTTTTTCTAAATAAAGTATCATTTGCGGGGCATTGCATATTCATCATAAAAATGATATTGTCCCTTTATCATTATGTTTAAAGTAAAATTTATTACTTATCAATTTTGTTTCCATTGGTAAATAGCATATATATATATATATAAATACAAATAACTATTTATTATTGATCCCTTCCAACCCAAAAAAAAATTTTTTTTTTGAAAACTGTAAATGGCGGCGTAACCCATTTCTTCCAACTTGTTAAAAAAAAAAGGAATTCTACCCAAATTTTTTTTTTTTTATAGAACAAAAAAAAGTCTAGAATCTAGAATTATAATAATTACTAAACCATAAATGGCTCGCACTTGTAAAGTATTTCGATGGATTTGTAAGGTATTATAAAATTTATTTGATTTTATTAAAGCAAGAAAAAAAAAATTCGTCCTCCCATTTATGTTAAAGTATTAAAATATTATTAGGCTGGAGATGCTACTATATGCCGACGGCCAAAACTAGACGATGATAATAATAGTATAATTTTTCCAAATACATCGGATATAGAATATACACATACAACGAGATGCAAGCATAAACCCTCTAATACACGCGAAACAGGTGAAAGGGAAATATGGAGAAATAAAGTGGGAGGTGACTTTACTCCAACAGGTTCATTAAAAGATAGAGGGAAGAAAAAGCATAAAAGCCTTCCCGCATGGAGGAATTCTCTTAATGCAGGTGGAAGCTCAAAGAAGCTTGGTCTCGTCGTTGATACTCGTCGATTTTGCATGGTAGATCCATTCAACCCGACTATTAACAGAAAGAGTTTTGTATTTGACACTACGTGGAACATAACTGCTTATTTTACTTCAACTGACAACAACAATATTAACCCCAACATTACAGTTGATAATAATAGTGATAAAAAAAGTTTTTTAGATTATTTGGGTGAAGAAAGTCCTGCTACTATATTGATTGCTAAAAAGGAAAATTTGGCGAGAAATAGTAGATTTAGTATGCAACCGGTTCGTCGTAATAATAGTAACAGACGTTCCATAGCAAAAGATATAAGGGAAGTTCGAACATTTCGATGGGAAAATCGAAATTACGATCGTGAAAAGACTAGTTCTCAATTATATGAACTTTATGAGAAGTACAATGATTCTCCTTTAGTCGATCTTCAGAACAAACCATTACCTCCCGTACCCAATGACAATGTGAACACACTTGATTTTCAAAATGATGATTATGATTATAACTTTCGTCAAAGCATCATCGAGGACTCGGAGTTACAATCCATAATAGACACTTTATCTTTCATATCAGAATATCATAGTATAATAGAAGCTCCGGATGATGTTTTTGATAATAATTCATCGCATTACACGCCCACAAGTACGGCTCGTGAATCATTTTCCGAATTATTAATTGATGACGACACTATACCAAATCCATTTGAAGATGTTTCTGGTGTACCTTTAGCCATTCTGTCTACAAATTCGGCAAGAGATTCGATGAATTCAATGAAAACGTTACCTGTTGAGGTGCAAATGTGTTTATCTTGTAAAAGAAAGACGACGGATAGTGGTTATAGCATCCAGTGGTGTAAAGCGTGTGAAATGAAAAGGTTCGAACAACAATTTGAATCATGGTCAAGTGGAAATGATGACGTTGATATTTTCATCTTGGAAAGTCAATTAAATTCATCAAGTTACTTTGATTATTTGGAATGGATATCTTTTGATAGATTACAAGATATTGAATTAGTTGATGCTGGTGATTACGGTTGCGTATTTCAAGCCATTTGGAAAGATGGTCCTCGTGAGAGATGGGACATGAATAACAGTCAATACGTTCGATGTGGTGAATGTCTTGTCGAGTTGAAATGTTTTGAGGATTCTCAAAACTTCTCCTCAGATTTCTTCGATCGGGTAAATGTACATTTTTTTTAAAAAAATAAAATTTATTACACCATTGTTTTTATTAACATTTGCTTTTTTTTTTTATTTATTTATTTATTTATTTAGTTATCTAAATATATTCAATGTGAAAATAACACCGGTCAGCATATAGTACGTTGCTACGGGATAACACAGGATCCAATATCGAAAGAATACATGCTAGTATTACAATACGCAAAAGATGGGAATAATTCCAATTATTTGAAACGAAACTTTGCTGAAATCACATGGCAAACACGATTGGAAATTTTACACTCTCTCGCAATAGGTCTCAACAGTATACATGAAAATAATTTAATACACGGGAATTTGCATAGTGGGAATGTGCTTATAAGTGATCATGTAACCCTTATAAGTGATCTTGGATTGTCAAGTCGTAATGATAATGGATCATATGGAGTTTTACCTTTTGTTGCACCTGAATTATTAAAGAACAAACAATACACAATGGCTGCTGATGTTTATAGTTTCGGTATGATAATGTGGGAGGTAATCACAGGAAAAAAACCGTTCGCTGATCGTGCACATGATGAGAAATTGGCGACGGAAATTTGCAAACAAGGATTACGACCAGAAATTCCTACGGATATTCCAAGTTGTTTTGCCAGACTTTTAAGAAGATGTTGGGATTCGAATCCATTCGTACGACCTTGTGCAAATTCTTTGCGTGAAATAATAGCCGAATGGATTTGTGAAATATCGGAAAATACATCTTCGGAAATTTCAATCCAATTTCAACAATCGGAAGAAAAACGTCTTGAAAGTGTATCCACGGTAAATTCTCAATCAGAAGAAGGATGTGTAATAAATGAAGATGATATTCACCCAGGGGCTGTATATACTAGTAGATTCTTTAATTTTGAAAATCTTCATGAACCAAATGTAATATTCTCTAAATCTCTTGATCCTAAAGATCATTTAGCAATACGACAATATATTGCAAATGAAACAAAGTATTATAATCTTAAAATTAATAGTTTGAAAGCGGAAAGTAGTAATATTGCTGCTGAGGTCTATGATATATTGCAGTATTGGTAAAAAAATTTCTCCACCCCCAAAAAAATTATAAAATTATTTATATTAAAAAAAAATCTTATACATAGAACCTTTTTTTTTTTTTTTTTTTTTTTTCCATTATTTATTTTTATTTTTTTTTTTTTTTATTTTTTATTTATAACTTTTTTTTTTTTATTTTTTATTTATAACTTTTTTTTTTTTATTTTTTTTTTTTTTTTTTGCAATACTGGTTATTGTATCGTTTCCTTCTCACTATTGCAACGAATCCCCCCTTTTTTCTTTAATTCCTTTTTTCTTTTATTCTTGTAAAAATTTTTTAAATTTTTCTTTTTTACACATCATCCTTATATTATTATTATTTATATCATATCTTTTCTTACCACAACTTACTAAGATTTTTATAAGGTTTATAAGATTTTATTATTAATATTCTTAACATATATTCTATAAAGAAATTAAAAGTATAACTATATAATAAATCATTTGTACATTAACGTGCACTTAAAGAAAATTATAACTAATTAGATATTCAATTTATTTTGTAAATAACGACTTCATTAAAAGAGATATGTGGTGATTTAATAAAAGTTGCAGCAGTTGCAGCAGTGCCGTAACAAAATAGTAACAGTACGTGTAACGACAGAACATAAAAAGATGGTGGTTTGAAATTATTGCGACGCGTTAAAATGGACTGTTATATGATTGGTCGATTCTGGGCTCCAATTAAAAGCTACCTTCCCTTTAAAGTTAGTTTGGTTATTCGGAAACAAAAGTAGTCATGTGTAAAGATTCTTAAACTTTATTCCTTTTAAATTAATTCCTTAATCAAGTTTGCAATTATTAAGGTTCCTCAGAATTAATTATTTTGGTCACCTGCGAAAAATTTTATGATTTTAATCCAATTAGTGTAAAAAAAAATAAATAAATAAATAAACAAAAAAGGCATGTGTATTCGATTACTTTTAAAATGGGAGTGTTCCAATTTAATAATTTGCGACCATTTAATGGTTTACATTAAGATTTGAAAAATTCATCAAACACAGATTATCATCTTTAAATGCCTGATAAATGCTACATTAGTATCGTATAATACCCCGGATAATAATATTGGAATATTATTGCGAACACAAATGTGGATACCACGGAGACAGTGACCAAGAATGTTTTAAAGCAAATTTCGTATGAACCTTATTTTTTTTTTTTTTTAAGAAAGCTAAAGACCATCGGTCCGAACGGTTAGGCACCTGATAAGTGCAGTGCGTAAGAATAATAATTTTCGCAAAGTATGTTCAATTGTAGTAATAATTGCGATTCAAACAATTTTATTAATATTTACTCAACAAATTGAAGTTTTAAATGAACGAAATGATGTAAAGGGAAAGATTAACTAAATTTCACGAATTTTAGCAAACGCGTTTTCAATATCATCAATATGCTCATAACCAACAGAGACACGCATCATCTCTTTAGTTACGCCTGAGGCAGGATTTATTATATATTTGACAAAGACAAATTCATATATTTATTTTAGTAAAAAAAAAATAAACATAAAAAATTAAAAATCTTCCTACCTTACAAATTTTAGCTTGTTTTATGAACTCTTAATGATAAAATTTCAAGACCTTGCAATAACAAAAATGTCCCAAAAGGATTTTGACAGGGTCCTACATCACGTAATATTTCTGCAAATGCCTTCACAATAAATGAATCATATCCAAATAAATTCTTCCGTGAAATCCCGGACTTGGTTTCGTAAAAATTCCATTTATTCCACGTGACACCGCCTATTGTTGTCCCCGTGACCTCCTATACTGTGAATCACTATTTCAGCTCCATGCTTGTGCTGAAAAAGATATCCACCTATAGATATGAATCTAATTTTAAAAAAAATCACGATGGTAACATTGAAAAATTATTGCAAGAACTTGTCTGCACCAAATATTCCCGCATTGTGTGCAACCTTACAGATTGCGGAATGTTAAATTTCGGATTACCCATCATCGTCGTCAATGAATTTAACACCCAATCTTGGAAGTGCTACCCTAATATTTAACCGTGGATCACGATGAATTCAATTCAAATCGAGCTTAGTACCTTGTGTAAGAATATGCTGCTTCTTTTCCATTAAAAACATTTGCAGCATGTTCAGAACTTTTAAAAGTAAACGACGTAGTGGCATAAATTGGAACGGCCCTTGAACGTGTAGTAATATCAGGTATGCAAATGAAGAGTTTCAAATTGAGGCTTTTTTTTCTTTTGTGATCATTTTTTTAATACGGTGAAATTAATTAACTAAAAAAAAAAAAAGATTGAAATTTATGATGGACGAAAAACTTTGATAATTTGCTAGGATAAAAAACAGTTTGCTATTAAATTTTTTAATAGACCATCAGATTTCATAAATTAAGAATCCAATATACCATTTGCATACTTTCTTAATAAACGTCACCAGTTAATCTATAATAAGAAAACTTTTTTGAAACAAATCTTTTATTATTTCTATTATTTCTTAAGTGTTTACTAGAACGTTGTTTGTTTATAATAGAAAGAAAGTAATTTTTATCGCAATAAATAATTCCCACGGCATCATAAAATGAGATCAAAGTGGGAAAAACAACTTCAATTTCATATTAAAGATGTTCTAATAAAGTTAAAATACGCGTCGTGTTTCGCGGAAGTAATTTAATAAAAATATCGGCCTTTTTATATAAAGTTGCTATCAAATAATAATTATAGCGCTTATTATGAATTATCTAAGCAAATATTTTAGTGAAAAAATAATAAAAATATAAAAGCGTTATGGAATTTAAATTCCAAGATTTATATTGTAAATTATAGATTTAATCTAGTAAACTAGTGTTCCGAATCGTTCAATTTAAAAATTATTTAATAATGGATAACCGGATATTCGGATATTCAGATATTCGTTTTTTGGAAAAAAATCACATTGATTGGAGAATACTAATATTCGAATCAACATCAAATATTACCGTTCGGTATCATACAAATCCTACATATTGTAATAATAATTAACTAAAAAAAAAAAAAAAAAAAAAAAAAAAAATTTTAAAAGTATGGTAAAGAATATTTGTGTCGCTATACTTGGAACACTGACCAGTTCGTGGCTTTCTGTAAAAATGATCGGCAATCCCGAACTCTATAGTTATTCGGATGAATAAAATTAATTATAAGATTGTTTTGTGACGCGATATCCATTTGTCATTTTATTGATAGAAGACATTTGGTCGCATAAATAAAAAAAAAAAACACGGATTTTTATTTGACACAATAAAAAAAGTTACTTTGAATAATAATAAAAATAATATGAAATTTTAAAAATTGTAGGACGTTTTATATAAGGCCAATAACTATTCATTAATAATTATTTTCGAGAAACAACTTATTTTGTCGATGTAGATAATATTCGACGATCTTATAATATATGATTTATATCAAATTTATTTAAGGATTTTAACTTATTTTCGAATTGGCAAACGGCTCCTTGTCACCAAAGACGAAAATATGACTCATAATTTAAATATAATACTAAAGAACCTACTATTAAAAAGTAAAAACAATCACGCGCCTTAGACATTAGAAAGGGATTTTTCAGAAGAATCGGTCAGGCCGTCTCTACAATTGAGGAATTAATTATCGCGGACTTCTCTTGCTATAATTATTTGCAACCCGGTTTGGTTTCTCGTGCAATTGAGGAAATTTGTTTACTATGAAAAAGTCATTAAACCCGAATAAGATTTTTGCCATTATTATACTCAACCAAGGTTAATTTGTCTTCGCAAAGGAAAAATAGCAAGAGG